GTTTCGGATTTTTAGTAATTTTCCCCCTCTTCGCAGGGGACATTAACCTTTCTCTTTTCCCCAGACTGCATGGGCATCCTGAGTCTTCAGGCTTTGGTAAAGAATTTTACTGCTGTACTGGAAGCAGGAAGCCAGAAAGGAAAAAGGGATGGCAATGAAGGTTGATGGTACAAAAGCTGGAAATTTGGCTGTAGATGTCTTCCAAAGGAAGAACCCTGACAGAAAGAAATGAACTTCTCCTTGGCACACCCAAAGGGCCAGAGGTAATTTGACTGGAAAAATTGTGCCTGTCAGATGAATTTAGAAACATCCTTTCTAGATCCAGCCAGCATTGTATATTTAATTTTCAGATTCCCTCTTCAGATCTTTGTTTACAATAACAGATGAAAAGAATTACTTTTACTTTCTGCCTCAATCTTCCTCTATTTTCCCTAAGGCAACAACAGTAATAAAATGAATTAAAGGGACTCATGTTCAATTATAGCCAACTATGTTTTTTTCCAAAGTATCACCAGATATGGCTGAGGGACACTTGTTGAGTCACTTTTTTTTTTCTGGGTTCTTTTGTTTTTTCTTTCTTTCCAAATTAAATCATTGCACAATGAAGGATCCTTAAGGTTACAGATCAATCCTCTGTCTTCCTGCATTTTAGGGAGGGGATGGAAAACTTGAAAGAAACCATAAACTAAGATCACATACTAACATTTTGGCTTTAAATGCTACTGTAATAAATGAGATGGTGCATTAAATTACAGTCATGTGATTCTATTTGCATGAACAAAAAATTGAATAATCAAGTGCTATCCAGACTTGAATGCCAAGAAGCATGTACTGAATATGGCTATGTCATAAAATATGTGTAAAGAACCTTACTGCTTTGTCACTGGCAATGGGTTTCTGATCTAAAGTGATTCCAAATTGCTGTCAAGAGAACTATTAAGTATTAAAAAGTTAAGCACAGTTGGAATCAGGTGAGAGATAATAACAAGGTAAAATTTAATTCCAATTAAATAGTCCAGGTAGATGCCTATCTCCTTTTATTATTATAATCCAGTCAGTGCTTACCCACATGCAAATGTGCTGGTACACTTCAGCAGTGTACACAGGAGTGTAACTCTTTCTGGACCTGGAAGGAGTAATTCTATGTTCATGTGACAGAGCAGATGTAGAAACTTGCTGGCACCAAGTAAAAGTTCTTGGGATTCTCTGTATCTGTTTGTACATCAACGTGTATTTCTCACCAGAAACATCCAGGGAGAAGCTGATATCTCACAGTGTGCAAAGTCTGTGTCTGTCATCGTGCAGCTTGTCCTATGTGACTTTGTTAAAGCATCTACTGAAATTTTATACATTTATACATCTCAAGGCCAGAAGGGACAGTTCCAACAATTTAATTTGACCTGGAATCTTTAAAAGTGGCTAAATAAATTGGATAGTTAAATCACACTTGAAAGTAATGTCCTAAGGTGCCCTTCAGAAACACATTTTTTAAGCTTTCAGGTCATAGAAAACTATCATACCCTTTAATAGGAATTTCTCTGATTAATTTGTGAATTAGTGCTACAGTGCAAATCTAATGTAGAGATGCATCAACTAAACAGCCAAAGCAGCCAAAACTTTCAAAGCAATGAAAAATTAACAGTTTAAGGACTAAATGACGTTTCCAGTCAGGAGCATATCCTTGCTCTATGCCTTCCTGCAAAACTAACTAGTGTTTCTGATAACTTCTGTAAACCACCAAGCTCTGCTTTGCTGGTTTATGATATCCCAGGAATATCAAAATGAAACTGTAGCCTTTTTTTTTCTTTTTGTGTTAGTTACCTCATTTATCCCACATTTAATGCAGAGGTTGCCATGTGTATTTGTAGGTGACTGTTGTATTTTTAAATGAAATATCGAGGCTCACCAGTGACGAACATGACTAGCAGCATGACTGTTCTGTAAGTTTAGTATGAAAGCTGAGAATTATTCTGTAGAGACTTTGTCTTCTTTGATCATTACCAAGGTCTGGCCAGGAATCATGAGAAATATTCACAGGACTAACAGAAACCAGAATATATCAAATAAGCCACTGAAGTCCAGAATAGCAAGAAGTCCTCACAGAATTGCTCATTTAGTTGAATTACGTAAGTAAATATCCTATTTATTATTTATAGCCTTTAATTTTTCATGAACAATGTTACTTTGGTGCTTGTGATATTCTATACTGAGGAAATGGAAATATATTGTAATACTAACTACTTACACGGGTCAGTAATTACAATTTTATTGGAAAAAATCTATATTTTAGCAGTTAACCTTTTTCAGAGAAGTCCTGCTTTAATAAGTATTGCATAGCTGGGGGGGGGAGTCTTTCAGCAACTCTCCTCAGCTTACTCATATGGAAAAAAATCCAATGCACACTTTTAAAGTTTTATCTACCTAAATAATGAGTAAAGCTTAAGTAATTAACATATTCTAAGTCCTTTAAAAACAGAAATTAAAATGACTGTTTAAGTAACAAAGGGGCAGCAGGAGAGCAGGAATAGGCCCCATTGGCTGCTCTCCTCAAATCCCGCATGGACCATCCCGAGCCACGAACCTGCCGTGCTGAGACAGGCATGACTGACAGCATCAGGATAAGGAATCCCTCTGAAGGAGTGAAAACAACGCTGAATTACCTCTTATAATTATGAGAGGAAATCTCAGAGGTCATAGCTGAGGTTAGCAGTGGGGCAGGACCGGGGTTGTGCTTGTGCTGCAGCTGCTGCAGCGCACCTGGCCCATTAGTGGGGGTTGCATTTTCAGCACCGACTTACCCTGGAGATCAATAATTAAAAGGGTTTTTTTTTAAAAAAAAAAAAGACCTCAGTGCAGAAGTATAAGCTGTCATGTAGAAAGTTTTGAACCACCACTAGTGAGGAGTATATAATATCTTAGAAGTGGTACATGCTGAAAGCAGTATTATATCGAGCCTGGTTTATATGTCACTTTATTTGTCCTCTTTTTCTCCTGTTCCCTCTAATGAGAGTTTGTTGAGTTATTTTTATGGCCTTTATATTTCACACTCCCAAGGTAATGACAATGGCTTTAAGAAATAAATAAGAGAGGAAAAATAAGATTTTTAATTATCCGTAATTAGAACTAAAGGAGTTGCATTAAATATGTTTCTTGTAATGCACTGTTTTTTGGCATGGTAGCTGTAAATATTTAAAAACAGTGTTCTGATCACATCAAGATATGTATTCCCTCTATACAGTCACCTACATGTTTATTTCATTTCTCACCTACCCCTGTAGAGAACTGTAAAATTACCCAAAAAAGAAAAAAAATAAACCCAAAAACACCCCAAAGAACCTTACAGGATCTACTGCCAGGGTCACACACTGCACTGCACATTGATGTGGGCTTCACCTACTCATGATCAGCAGGTGTAGCTGTCCTAATATCACAGGAAGCAAAAGAATCAAAGTGAATAAAAGTTACAGTATAAGCAGTTCTCTTAAGCTCACCACAGTCAGATGGGGACCTCTCGGCTTACTCCAGAATGTGTGTCTCTACAATTTTAAACAACTAAGCTGAATTAGAATCAGCTTAGTCAAATGTATAAAACATACTCTTTCTTACTACGGTGAATTTCTAAAAATAATTATTAAAGAAATCCCTAAGAATATACTTTCATGCTAGGTACTGAATGTCTTATTAGTTTTCTAGGTTTTTACTCCAGTCATGAAAAAAATCTACTTAATGTAATATCATAATACTTCACATGAGACATGAAGGTTAGTTAATGTGAAGCAGGAAGGTTAGTTAATTTGCTCGCATATTTAACACTATCCCATTTTTTTAACCTTGACTATTTGATATTCTAGGCTTCAACTTGCGAAGTACTCCTGGAAATTATTTGTGGACATGAGCATGGATTACTTTAAATGCATTATTTTGATGTAATGAGATATCCTGGGTATCTGGCATTTCAGCTGTCCCATCACATATTTAGCTTAGCCCATATTTCTTACTTTTTACCCAATCTACCTCTACTGTTCCCAGATGGCATTTTTTGAAGACAACTGTCCTCTACAGCCTAGGTAAAGACTGATGAGACTATTTTTATTATGACCTAGGAAATTATTCAAATGGAGCTCTCTAGAGGCATATGGTTGGCATTATGAATATTTTACAGAATCATCTCTGAAAATCAGGCCAATAGCATATACACACGGGGCCAAGTTCCACTCTCACTTATACCTTGGCAACCACGATGATTTCCCATTTGGCTTTGCTATGCAAGTATTTGTTTGGTTTATTGCATGCATGTATTTTTTATCTGCTTCTCCCCTTCTTCAGCCCTATTTCCCACACTGTTCCTATAAAGAAGACAGTTACTGTCAGTGTGGAATGATTGCTATTTGGGGGCTACTGGCTATGTCTCTCTTACCTCATAAATACAAGGAATACAATGTACACAGGAATGAGGGAAAATGTTCAGGAAATGATGCTTGGTGTAGCAGCATCTTTCCTCAGGCACCAAAACTGAGGCAGAATATTTACACCACCTTGACCTCAATATTGCTATGAACTCCACGCAGGAAAAGGCTCTGGGACACCCACTGGCTCCCGAGGGATGCTACAAAGAGAAAGCACGTCCTGGAACTCCCTGAGGACTGGGACCTGGAGCAGGGCAAAAATGGGTCAAAGCATTATGTACTTTCTCATCAGGAGATGAGTATGCAAGGGCTAATATTTCTCATTCTGATATTTTTTCTTTCTTATTCATTTTTTTCTCTTTGGTATATAAATTCTATTTCATCTGCATGATTTCCATTTATAAATTGAAACCCTTGGTAATATAATAACCCTTCTATATAAGAGGACCAAGAAAATTCAATAATGAAGTTATGATCAGATGTGTGACCTTACAGAGTAGAAAAATACTTTAAGAATTAACACAGTAGGACATAATAAAATATTTACAATGTTTTATAAAAGGAAAAAAAAATGCTAAAAAGATTTGTACTTACCACAATATCTTTTCCAGCCCACTTGCACTCATCCCTTCGGGAATGTGATACCGGCCAAACAATCTAAAGACACAAAACAAAAATCACATTGTGTTATTTCATGCTTCAGCATTCACAAATTGCAGGCCAAATGCTTACGGAGTCCCTTTATCCAGTTTATCTTCCCCCCATTCTTTTCCTTATTTCCTTTTCTTTCTTAAAGTTTGACAACGAAGAAATTAAATATTGAGAGCAAAACCAGGAATAATAGGTGTCATAGTAAAAACAATCTTGAAGTCTGCATTGTGAATTTCATCTGTGAATCTCCAGTCCTAATATTAAGAGGATTGACTCTCCAGTGAGTGAGTGTTCTTTTAATCTTTTAAATCTCACATAATGGAAATACAATCTCACATTAGAGTCCCAGCATCAGAAATGAGGTGTTTGCCTCTTCAGTGTATCAAATAGTTCACTCTTTGGCTCGTTCAGTTAATTAAATAATAAAAAAGGAGTCATGGTATTTGACAAGAATCCCAACACCAAAATAGCAATGTTTGTGCTCTTTCTATAGAGCCACCCTAAAGGTACTAATCCTAAATCTAGGTTTTCTGTAATGTTTGCTTAGCAGAAAATGGATCTCACCTCATACAGAGAAAATCCAGAGACCCTCACAGTCAATTATTCATGTTTCTTTGAAAAGCTTTTAGGAATTACATATAGAATAAAACATGATCTTCCCATAAAATGCCAGGCTATTCATTTGGGAGCCTCAGATAATGCAATATGAATGGCCTTAAGTCTGGATTACAGTCTTGGTGCTCAATACAGTTTGTTAATAGAAAGCAAAAGGCAAAATATTATAAAAAAAAAAGATGGAATGTGGATGACTAAGGGGTCAAAGGAGATGTTGCAGATGATATTTGGAAATACAGTTTGCAACATTTTTTAAATTCAAAATTTTCTTAACGAAATGCAAACAGCAATCGAACATCGTAAGTCTATAAAATAAGGCTGAAAATTTTATGAGCACATTCTCTCTCAGAGGATTCCCACTACTTCCTGTTGCTATTCTCAGCTTAAAATGTGCAGAGATGTGAAAATTTAAATTTACTAGGTTGAAAAACATTAACCAAACTTCTCAGATATCCCAAAAGGACCGGTTCAAGTTTAGTTCAAGTTTTGGGCAAAAATCTGAGTATTTTTCAAACCAGTGTATTTCAAGATAGATGTTCTTTCTCCTTAGATTCACAGTAAAACTGGTTCTTCTAATTTGGTTTAAAAGACAGCTAAGTAAAACTGGCTTTAGTACATTGAAAAATTTGGCTTTTTGAGCTTTGATGTTGCCATCAGCATTTAGACAGAAACCTGATGAGTTTTCTTAGGTGGCAGAAGCAACAACTGGTGAAGTTTGAGCTCAAGTGCATTGTAATTTTGATTGAAGTGTCTTACACGACTCTCCTATCTATAATAAACAGATCCCCAAAATCTTAAAGTCTTTTGCCTATTCTTAAAGCTAGTCTAAATTCTCTAAGTCTGTTGCTAACACACATTTACATGTTACTGACAGCAGTTCTTTATTTAATCTATTAATATTGGTATATAAAGTCAAATAGTGTTCTAAAAGTATCTGAATATGTAAGTATGTAAAATACAATCACTCCCATTCTACAGAGCTGTTTTCTGCAATGGAAACACCTTCTTTCCTTTAATTATTCCAGATGTTTTGCACATTAAGCTATTGATCCCTCAGAGAATTCAAATAAATAGCTAGTTTCCTTTATAGCTGCTCTAAAGAGAATAGAAAAGAAAATACTCAGTTTTCCTTTTATCCTCTTATCCTTGGAGAATACAAATGAATAGCCTGTCTTCTCTCTGAACAGAAAACACAAGGTATTTATTGCTATCATCTTAGGAAGCTAATAGTCAAACGGCTAAAAGGTCAGGAACACTAAGAAAAAAAAAATAATCCCTGGGTATTAAAGCAATATATCTCTCATAAAAGGGTACTCTCTGGATTTTAAAATGTGCCATCAAAATACTTAATACAACAAACCTACATCCCATTGTTTACCTTCTTGCCATTTTGTCTTACTAAACTAAAGGAAAACTTAATTATTTATTTGGACTCAAAGGGAAGAATGACACTAAACTGCTTGTCAGCTTTTAATTAGTCACCAACTTTCACTGGAAAATTACAATCTCCATCAAGAACAGCAATATTTTATGGACTTGTTCCTCCTTTATTAATACTGGAACTGTTTTGGTTCAAAAGCAGCAGAGCAGAGTGCCTACAAGTGCTGAGTTAAGGAAGAAAAATCAACATTTGGACTCCCAAATAGCTTATTTTATCTGAAGACAAATACAGATCAGTAAGGCCTTTCTGTTTAAACTGTCATAACAGATGCTTGGCTTTTATAGCAGTTGCCACGAAAGTATGTCGTGTTTGGGAAATAGCTGGATTATTCACTTATCATTTTCTTTTTTTTTTTTGTAGTCTTAAAAAAAATATTGTAGATTATATAGTCAAAGGTCACAGTCTCATTATAAATTTCTTTTCATAGAGTCAGCAAATATTTTTGTCGTAACAGTACTCCTGACATCCAAACACTTACTATATAATTCCAACAGTGCACAACACAGTCTGAGCAAGTCTTTAACATTCAAAGTTTATATTTACATTGTACAGAACATGAATGAACGTACCTTTTGATATTCCTTGATGTTAACCAGGTTGAAAGAAAATATGTGATCCTTTGCTCCAACATACAGCCGACCGCGTTCTTCGTCCAAGAGGAAAGTGTGGTAACTGGAGCTATTAGCTAGTCCATTGAAATTGATTACATTGTTGGATTCCAACATTTCTGTAAGATAAAGGTAATACTTCTGCTGTTAATATGGTCAAATGAAATAGAGACTTTTATTTTGACTTCTACAGATATCATTTTAGGAATCTGTGCTTATGGTGCAGAAACAAGTGAAAGCATTATTTACCTGGGCCCATGGATGTTGGTTTTTTTTTTTTTTATTTCAAGCACGCAACCTTGTGAGATTCAGCTCTACAAAGAGGTTGAAACAACTGTGAAATCAATTAGAAACCTGTATGAGTTTTTAGGTGGAAAAATTCTATCCATGTAACTCATCAACTGTTGGACAAAGTTAAATTTTGTTCAATCAATAAGATTTGCAAGGATAAACTTGGGGATAACTGGCTGATAACCACATCTAAACACAAAATCTATTTCCAGCAGAAGAAACTATTTCATAAAAATCTGTAAGTTACAAGAAAAGGGATAAGAATCACTAGCTGATGAGATAAAATAACATGTAGCACCTATTTTTAAATGTATTATCTTCTGAGCTTTCTTAGAAAGGCAGCATGTTGTTCCCTTGCTTGGAACAAGAACTGAACTAGAGAAAGTAACCTTGCTTCTCTATAATTTTCTAGTTCTGATATTTCTCAAAGAAATTTGCATTTGCCATGGACAGGATTTTTTTAACTACAAGGATCCACAGAATCATCTTAGCTATTCAAACATTAACAAAGTGATATGCATTTTTCTGAAAAATGCTTTTACCATAAGTTATGGACCATAATAGTATAAATATTCATGAGAACACAATTTCTTTATGCCTATCTATATTCACATCGGGACCAAAACCAAACCATCTCTATCATTTTAAGGCATATCTCCACTAGTAAGTCATCAATAAGAAAGTTTCCTGGTGGTGACAAACCCTACATGGTTCAAGCCCCAAGCCTGTGAGTTAAAAAGGCAAACATGCAGCTTTAGGAGCAGGAGCAGTTCCACTGATGGAGCCACGAAGACAGATGAGAAAGGGAGGGAATACATCAGCATCCCAAGGGCTGATGGCCAGAGGGCATGGCCTGAGCTTCAGGTATGTAATGTCTGCATCAGTTCTGCCACAAGTGCAAGCCAAGGATGTACGTAACTCCTCTCAGACCACGTGCCAAATGCCTGAATGTCCAGGATTCACCTAACAGTGCAGCTACATTCTATGGCTTTTCTGTTTTCACTAAGATCACTCCCATCTTCCACCATTATTCCAACTGAGAAGTGAGTAATCCCATATACTGATAGAAATCAGGGAGAAACTGCTTTTAAAAGTTTCTGCCTAATTTTCAACTCATTTTCCCTCTTTTTAGCTCATTCTTTTTTACGAACAAGGAAGATGTTAGGTGGGGATTTTTTGGACCTAGGTAATAGTGATACTTATGATTTTACAGAATTTCACACCTGCAGCTTTGTAGCTTTGCAGATGTTAAACCTATTTTTGATGTTCACTTATACCAGGTGGATTTTGAAGCAGGTTGAAACTCCACAAAAACATTAGTAGGCAACATACTCAAGGAAGACAAACACTGTTAGTTGCATACCATTTAAGACAGCTTTTAGCTTTACTATTCTTTGTATTTATTTGGAAAAGCTCTCACTACCACCAAAAATAGTTAATTCATGTAGCAGTGTAGCAAAACATCAGAGCAGACACCGTATTTTGTTGTTTATTCTACATTTTCTGTCACTAAATATAACTATACATTTATATCACAAATTGTACTGCTCAAGACTGAAGCTCACTTTTTAAAAATTATTTTTCTTTTAAATGTAACAATCAAATTACCTCAAGCAGTCTTGTCAAAATAATTCTTATGGCTTCCTGCCAAGTTCTAGAATTTGACTCTATTGTCCTCCAGTTCACTTATTTGCATTTTGTAAGAGACTTTACTAATTCTCTTTACTCTGTAATGACTGATTCAGATGTTGAATGTCGACTCACTGAATAGTGAGTGATGTAGATGATTGATTGCTTAACTTGTCTTAAAACTCTCTCTTGGCTAGAAATGCTCTGCTGTCATCTGTATCTGATCATTTTTCTTATAATGCAGCTGTCAAAAACCTTTGTAATTTTTTCATCTTTGTTGGTTTGAACTCATATACGTATGATTCTGCCCTTTGTGACTGCAGCGTAAAGACAAGTGTCTGCTAAAGTCGATGTTACACAAAGGTAAAACTGATAAAAATGAAAATGAGATCACTTAGGCACACAGCTACTTGGCTTAAAAGAAGCTTGATATGATTTTGCTAATGCAGAGTTCTAAATATTCACATCTACAGATGGTGATTGATGTTGGTTTTTTTTCCTTTCTAATATTAATGAAAAATGTGAGATCATAGCATTGGAGTCTAAGGTTTATTATGACCAAGAGTAAATTACATCATCATCTTCACTGTTCATAAGTCTCCACAGTAAAACTTAAAAGGACCAGGTGTGGCTGTGCAGGGAAATATATAAAGGGTTTTTTTTTTTAATTTTAATTTTCTGTGACTTTCAGAGCATGCAACCCAAACACTGTCGGGTTTTTTAAGAACATGCAATTTAAAGTCAAACTAAAAGCCAAATTCCATTTCCTTCGCTAAGAATGGGACATTTCTTCTAGGTTTTAATTCAGTATATGTCATATTGTAACACTACTGACTTTTGCAGATGGATTTCCAGGGTCCATTGCCCAAAAGATTAGGCCTAGATATGCTCCAAGCAATGTATTTTAAATCACATGATATCAGGTTTCTCCCTGTCAGGGACTGGGTTGAAAATATAGGCTGAGGAGAAAAATGTCATTTGTGTTGTTGATGATTCTCAATCACTATTTATTTAGGTAGGTTTGAGCTACATCACAAGTAGGAGGAGAAATCCTAAATAATTTCCTTTCTGTTGATTCTAACTGATATGTATTCATTCAGTGATGAATGTGGCTTTACGGCCACCCTGGAACAGGGTGTTGAAGAGCAAAGCAATGACATTTGCACAATCAATACAAATTAAGTATTCCACCTCCTCAAATTAATTAATTTTGAAGTGTTTACTATCCAGTGTCTTCAGTATCCAATGAGTGTCTATTGCTGAAAGAAAGAGCAAAGGCAGGGCTCAATCCCAGAAGGGCACTGGCATTCCATCAATTCTAAGAGTCCATCACTCATGCTGGCAAGGTTAGTGGATGATCAGCAATAATATAAACCTAGATTTACAACAAAGATTGTATTGTAATGACAAGAGGAAATGATGAATGCATTCAATGAATCAATAAAATTAATACTGTCTACCAGCATAGCCTAAATATTTTCCCTTTTTTTTTTACTTATTACTAAATGTTGGCCTAGCCATGTTCTATGCAGACAGGTAATGGCTGCCCATTCAGAAGTCTTTTTTTCCTTTTTTACTTCCTCTGTGATCTGTGCAGTTATTTTTATTGCACAGATGTAACATTACTCTCCACCATTTCTTCAGTAATTTCCCAGAGAATTTCTTCAGTAATTGCCCTGAGATAATTTTCTCATTTCCTTTTGACACATCCTCAGCTGTAGTCACACCTGTACTTTGAACAGGAATGAATGAGCCCTACACAGCTAACCACTGCACATTACAACCAGCATTGCCTGTGAAATGCTGTATGAGCTAGATTTGAACTGGGTGGTGGTATTTTGAAGGTAAAAGAGATGCCATTGCTTTTGTTATTGGTGCTTCATTCCCACATTTATTAACTGTTACAGGTGACCAAAACTAACAGTTTCAAATGCACCATACCTTAAAAAATAATCATATTATAATGAATGTGATGATCACTGAAACCAGATGGAGATTGAATTTCTCAGGGTTTGTGGGCTAGAGGCCCCTAATAACCACTTCAACTAGCTTTAATTCACATTCCTGACTTACTTGCTCCATCTTAAGTCTCCTTTCTCAGCCAGTGTCCAAGCTTGAAATATTTGACCTCTTTCAAAGTGCTTTTCTGTAGACTCTGCATGGTCTTTTTTCTATTAACTGATGTGTCTGTTGATCCAGTCTGACTTGTGTCAGAACATTCACTTTGCCAGAGAGAGTTGGCAAATTTACAGAAGAAAACCAGTCTCTAACTCTTGCCTTCATTTTAATACGTGGTTATTTAATTTGCTAATGGAATTGTAACTTAATAGTATATATACACACAGAGGGCCAAATTCCTGCTGTGAAATCCATGGAGATATGCATGCACAAGGAATGTAGATTTGGTTTATTTTTATCACACTTCTTCATTAAAGAAGAAGCCAGAAAACCACAGCTATAGCTAAGATGAATACAGTCATGCAGATCCTGAAGTTTGGTTTATCCATGGTTGGTATTCCACTGTAAACCTTGTTTTATGTCTGTATTCCCTCAGTGGAGTTTGTCAGGAGAAGAAAATAACAAAAGAAAACCATCTTATTTTTCACTTATCTACTAGCAGGCAAACGATCTTTAATCTTTTTAGCAAGAGGGAGTTTGTCTGTGTAACAACTTAGAAAATTTGTGGGCTTTGGCCTACGTCCCTGTTATAGACTTCACAATGACACACACCAGCCAAGACTGTTTTTGTTGATAAGGGTCAAAAGGGCACATCAATTTCTCTAAAAACCAGAGGGAAGGTTTCCTAGTTTCCTCAGCAGGATTCAAATCTGGTCCTGTCCTATTCCTGGTGATTCTGCAGAGCGACTGGATCATACAGGGAGTGCTGCTCGTCACAACACGCTCCTGAAGCCAATGAGTGGGTTGCTGGTTGCACAAAACTCTCGACCTGCATTCCTCTGCCAGCAGCGATAAGATCTCGCTGGAGATCTCCCAGCAGTAGCTAAAAGATGAGTCAATGCCATTATGCCATCAAACAGGGATTTTGCTGAACTGTGAGCAGTGCCTCCCACAACGTCACCCTAGAACATTTCCTTCTTCTCTCGCCAGGCTTCTACTTTGGCTACCGAGGATCAGGTGGCCACATGTTTGAACATGCATTTCTTGCTTACACAGATGCAGATTGTGCCTGTTCTGTATA